TTCAAGAAGATCCCTCCAAGCAATTTTAATTTGAGAAACCCTTGCTAAACTTTGAGGAAATTGCAGATAACCCTTTGAATTTTGTTTATTTTACTAAACCCTTTGAACTTTGAAGTGTCTTATAAACATCTATATTGTTTTACGCTGAACTCTTTGTTGTGTGCAGACGGCGGTGCCGAGGAACCAAAACAAACGCCGATCAAAGAAGGCCAAAAACAACCAAATATCAATGCACAAACCCCAAACACTAATTTTAACGTGGTTCGGCAATTGCCTACGTCCACGGGGCAAGAAGGGGGAGGGTTTCCACTAATAGAGAAGGAGAGTACAAATTGAGATTACAAATCGCTCAAACGAACCAACTAATCTCACCAACAAATCTCTCAACCTCTCAACCAATAACCCTAACCAATAGCTCAGAAAGATCTCTCTTTTCTGTGCTCCAAAATCCCCAAATATGCTCCTACAAAACCCTCAAATCGTATTGGTATTTATACCAAAACAAAAACCCAAACAGACTGCAAATAGGAACCTGAACTTTCCAAAAAAACCCGTCGTAAGTTGACTTATCAGTCTGCATAAGTCGACTTGGCAGAGCGAAAAACGACAACTGGAGAAGAGTTCATAAGTCGACTTAACAGGTCTGATAAGTCGACTTGCCAGAGCCCAAAATCAACAATCCACAGCAGATCGTAAGTCGACTTACGACACAAACATAAGTCGACTTACCATAAGTCGACTTATACCTGTGCATGAGTCGACTTATGACCAAAAATCTGCTTTTTCCAAGTTCTTCTCCACAATTCTCCACCTCGGCGAAGTTTTTCCAAAACTAAACCGACACCAACCAACAAATGCCTCACATGTTGAGACCCAAATGGGAGTGCGAACACTCACCCCAAATGTTGATGTCGCTCACCAAATCGGCTGCATCAAAATGACTGCCTACGTATCCTTTGCCCAAGGAATCAAGCCTTCACGTAGTTCATCCAACGGCCTCCAAAGGCCCTCAAACAAATAGAAAAGTCTGCAACTCTTCCCCAATATCGCCGACGGATCTGCAACTGATAGCGGCCCCAAACTGATACAAATCAAACACCTCCATATGAGGTGAACCAATGGCCGTATCCAAATCATGTCCACCAGTTGCAACCGAATCCAAAACCAATCCATCATCTGCATTCGAAATCAAATGATTCCCAATCTGTGCCACGTCAGCTGGAATCCCAAATGATGCAGTATGATCTGGAGTACGTGGAGTAATCTCCACCCAACGTGGAGTAGCATCACTCTCCACCTGCTGCGATATCCAAACAACCTGATCAACACTCTCCACCTGCCGAGAGTCAAAAATGACATACCTGCTCAGAAAAAAATCAGAAGCTCCCAAACGATAATCAACTGAGCCTCCGAACCCCAAACGCGCAATCAGATCAAATCTCACATCCTCAATGTGACCAAATGCTGGGTATCCAAATATCCGACGCAACCCAAAATCTGAAGCAGCTCCACCAGATCCAATAACTCCTAATGTAGCAGTCGGCGACCTGTGACTAAGATGATCCAAATATGTCGAAGCTCCAGAACCAATGCTCGACAACCAATACCGATCCTCCTCCAGAAAGGAATGACCCATCGAAACTGTCATCTCATCTCGTCGCCCCAAAGTCTCCACACCAATGAAGTGTCTCCTATTGCCGTGAGCTCGGCACAAACGCAAGAAAGGACCCCTACCAAATCTAGAACAACGAGTTACCTTTCTGCCAATACACTTTTTCCAATTGTTGTTGACTTCTAGGACTTTACACCAACGGGAACTGGTCGCGACCCAATAATGCCTAGAACAATCATCAATTGCGGAAACTAAGATATGATTACCTCCCAATGATGCCTCCTTGGAAGGCCCCCAAATGCCTGACTGAACACCTCCTAAAAGACCCCTCGCTCGATGGATAGGAATGTCAAGCTCCACCACGGTCTTGCTCATCCCAATACGCTCACAGGACTTCAATCGGTAGGTCATAGTACTCCTCAACAACCAATGCACAGCATTACCAATCATATACCCCAGCACCAAACAATGCCACAGTCTAGCCGAATCTGATGAAGTCGTCCTCTCCCTATCAATCACCGTGCTTCCAAGCAAATACCTTCTGACACCCTTCATCACAATCATGGACCCAAATGTAACCTTCAAGCGTGCATCCACCAAGGTCACCCTATAGCCTGCTGCCTCTAAAGCTCCAAGTGAAATGATGTTCTTCTTCAACTGAGGAACGAACCTCACTCCAACCAACTCCCGAATCACCCCGTCACTCATCCTGATCCGAACGGTACCGATACCACCAATAGAGCATTTGTGATCATTCCCCATGAGCACGAAATCCCCTCTTTCCAACTCCTGAAAGCTGGAGAACCAATCCCTCCTAGGGCAAATGTGGTATGTAGCCCCCGAATCCAACATCCACTCTGTATAATAGACAACACAAACTGACGGCAGTGCAGATAATGAGTAGCCCGAAGAATCCAAATCTGAATCGTTGCCACTAGCCTTGACAACATTCGCCTCTGAAGCTTGAATAGCTTTTCCCTTATTCTTCCCGGCTCGATCAACTAACTTTGGGCATTCGGCTTTCCAATGTCCATCCTCTTTGCAAAAGGCACACTGATTCTTACGAACTCCAAGATGTGCCCCTCTAGACTGCGACCTCCCACTACAGTTTGGACCCTTTGCTCTTGCGACCAACGCCCCCGCTACCGACTCAATCGAAGTCTCCTTATCCTTCTTTCGAAGCTGATAATTCACAAATGCAGCGGTGACCTCACTATACGAAAGAGATGTCTTCCCATTAATAAGAGTAAGAACGAAGGTCTTATATTCCTCGTCGGGCAAGGAACTCAACAATAACAACGCATTGTCCTCATCTTCAATCACCATATCTACATTCGCCAAATCCGCAAGAAGCTTCGTGTAGTGGTTCATGTGATCACCAATGGAGGTTCCTTTCTTCAACTGGAAGCGGTAAAGCCTCCTCTTCAAATGCAAGCGATTCTCCACACTCTTGGTCAAATACTTGCTCTCAAGGATCTCCCAAATCTTCTTTGCAGAAGTCTCATTGATCACATCATACTTTAGATCTTGAGTGAGACAAGACCTAATCACACCACACGCCGTTCGATTCATCTTTTCCAAACCTTCTCATCAATATTGTCCGGTTTCCCGTCCAACTCCAACGTATCTTCCAAATTTTGTGCGTTGAGCGCATCCATGACTTCGCATCGCCAAAGTCCAAAATTGTTTGTGCCATTGAACTTTTCCACGTTAATCTTCATCGAGTAGATATTCAAGCTTTGGACGGTCTTCACGCCGGAAGTACTGCCCATAACTCCTTCTTTCTCGGCCATAATCCTCAAAACACCACCAAACCAATGCGGAAACAAACGAGAAATAGATCCAAAACTGAAAAAGATGAGATTTTTACCAAAAAGACCCCACCTTTATCACCAAACGAAGTCCTTGACGAACTTCCAAAGCGATCTACTCCTCCAAATAGCCCAAGCGTAGCCCGAGCTCTGATACCACTTATTGAGCCAAACAGCGATATGCTCTGATACCACTTGTTGTGTGCAGACGGCGGTGCCGAGGAACCAAAACAAACGCCGATCAAAGAAGGCCAAAAATAACCAAATATCAATGCACAAACCCAAACACTAATTTTAACGTGGTTCGGCAATTGCCTACGTCCACGGGGCAAGAAGGGGGAGGGTTTCAACTAATAGAGAAGGAGAGTACAAATTGAGATTACAAATCGCTCAAACGAACCAACTAATCTCACCAACAAATCTCTCAACCTCTCAACCAATAACCCTAACTAATAGCTCAGAAAGATCTCTCTTTTCTGTGCTCCAAAATCCCCAAATATGCTCCTACAAAACCCTCAAATCGTATTGGTATTTATACCAAAACAGAAACCCAAACAGACTGCAAATAGGAACCTAAATTTTCCAAAAAAATCCGTCGTAAGTCGACTTATCAGTCTGCATAAGTCGACTTGGCAGAGCGAAAAACGACAACTGGAGAAGAGTTCATAAATCGACTTAACAGGTCTGATAAGTCGACTTGCCAGAGCCCAAAATCAACAATCCACAGCAGATCGTAAGTCGACTTACGACACAAACATAAGTCGACTTACCATAAGTCGACTTATGCCTGTGCATGAGTCGACTTATGACCAAAAATCTGCTTTTTTTCAAGTTCTTCTCCACAATTCTCCACCTCGGCGAAGTTTTCCCAAAACTGAGCCGTTAACATTAAATCCTAAATTAATTAAATAAATTAGTCATTGCTTAAATTTGTACTAAAAACATGACGATATTTTGCAAAAAATATTTATAAAAAATGTAAAGCAATAATTATCCAGGATTGAGGGGTATTTTCGTATTCTTTATCACTTGCTTAATATGTGACGCAATCTACACTTCTATACTTAAAAGGAGGATCCAACGAATCACTATTAATGCTATAGTAAAAAACTATAGTGTTTACGGTTGCGTAAACAATAAATCGACAGCTCCAGCTATAGTAAATAATGTAGCGTGAATAGTAAATCAAGCAATGCTTTTTTACCGTAAACAGTAACTCAAATCCGGCACTGTAATTTTTGAAGTTACTGTTTATGCTACAATATTTTACTGTATCATAAATAATATATTAAATCAAATGTATTAAAACTTAGATTTCCCTCTAAGTATAAAGGAGTAGATACGATTTCTAAATCTAATGTATTAAAAATTTGGTCTTCCTTTAAGTACAGAGGAGTAGATATGATTTCTAATTTTAAATATACAATAATCAAGTTAAATATATTAAAACTTAGAGGGAGGTAAGTTCAAAAAACAATACTTAAAAAAATAGGGGGCCATCTTTTTCGCACGGGGTGCACACTAGTTAGATTTAACCTTGTTACTTTTGGGGGTCAAGTGAGAAATCTTGAGAGGGTTTTGTGGAGAAGAAAAACCTCGGGGTTCTTCTGCAACAGCCTCAAAGTTCGGTGGAGATTTCTCGAATTAGTAATAGCCAGGGCTTCATCTGAGCATCAAAGACCCTCTCTCCTTTTCTCTTCTCTCTCCTCTTTCTGACGACACCGCCGATCTCAAAATTATTTAGGGCTTTGGGAAAAGGCACTAAATTTTTCCTCAAAGTTCATCGCTATGAAGCTCGATGTCAATGCTTTGCGTTACCTCTCCAAGGATGATTTTAGGGTTTTAACCGCCGTAGAGATGGGCATGAGAAATGTAAAGATTTTTTGCCGCCTCTCTTTTTTCAATTTTTATCTTCTCTTCTTCTTAATCTTAATGTTGAATATATATATTTTTTAATTTGCTGATTCAGCATGAAATCGTTCCGGCTGAGCTTGTTGATCGAATAGCCGGCCTCAAGTAAGTACTCGAAATTATTACGTTAATGCTATCAAAGATCGGATTTTTATGAGATCCTTGTTTTTCAGGCACGGAGGCACGTATAAGGTGCTGAAGAATTTGCTCAAGCACAAGCTCGTCCACCATGATTCATCAAAATGTGAGCTTTCTTGCCCCCTTTTTATACCCTAAATTTTGGGTTCAGCTTAGGGTTTATGGCTTTCTGATGATTCAATTGTCTTCAGATGATGGGTTTCGGCTTACCTACTTAGGCTATGACTTCCTAGCAATCAAAACTCTCGTAAACCGGGGAGTCTTTTCCGCAGTTGGCCGCCAAATTGGAGTTGGAAAAGAGTCAGGTATATCCTTTTGATCCCCTTCTTCGTACTTCTCCGTCATAATTTCATGCTGCAGTGCGTAAATTGACTATCCTTATTATGCAATTTCTTATTGAGTTGAAGTATGTGCTGTTGCCATTAGATAGATCTCATCTTTCTGTTATCGCACTATTAGTTTTACCTTTCGCTACTATAGAAATTAACAAATTCTGATGTTTTACGTTGAAAAGATATATTTGAGGTTGCCACTGAAGACGGGACAATCATGGCAATGAAGCTGCATAGGTTGGGGAGAATTTCTTTCAGGGCAGTGAAGTCTAAGCGAGATTATCTGATGCATCGAAGCAGCTACAATTGGCTTTACTTGTCACGACTTGCTGCACTGAAGGAATATGCCTTTATGAAGGTTAGCTTGAAGAAATTTGTTCGTTTCAGTTCTCTTAAGCATTGCTCTCAGTTTATTAAGATATAGTTGGTTCATTGTCTCGTCACTAAAGGCTCTAGGAGAGCATGGATTTCCTGTTCCAGAAGCTGTGGATTGTAATCGGCATTGCGTGATAATGTCCCTAGTTCAGGGTTATCCATTGTAAGTTCTCATTACTGTCTAGGGACCTTCTTTCTTTCTGTTCAGGCCCTCTTGCAAGTTTTCATTACTTTATATAGATTAGTGCATGATTTTAATTTTAATTTTTTACTTGATCTTTGCAGGGTCCAAGTGAAAGAGTTGGGAAATCCTGATGAAGTGTTTGATACAATTATCAATCTTGTTGTTCGTCTAGCTGAACATGGACTTATCCATTGCGATTTCAATGAATTCAACATTATGGTTTGTGTTCTGTTTCTTATTTCCATTTCTCCTCTATTGTTTATCACAGTTGATTTGATCAGATGCTCACATATTCTCTGAAGTTTTCATATCAGAGTCTCTTAGCGATATTTCTGTCACATATTCTCATTATCTGTATGTGTGTGTGTGTCTATATATATGCATATATATACATCTATATATATACATACATGTATGTATGTATATATGCGTGTGTGTACATATATATGTCATATATGTATATACAGATATATGTCATATATATGTACACACACCCATATATATACACGTACGTACATATACATACGTATACGTATACGTATATATACCTATATATACTATGTATATGTATATGTATGTATATATACCTATACATACTATGTATATGTATACGTATGTATACATATGTATGTATGTATATATATATATATATATACATATATATGCATATGTATATATATAGAGAGAAAAATGGGTATGCTTAGTACCAAACACAAATTTTGTGTTTGGTAGTGAGGTGTCCTATTTCCCATCCACTCATTCCAATTCCCAACCACTCCCTAACCCATGTGAATATGGGTCCCGATTTCAATGAGTGGAGGGGAATATGCCACCTCACTACCAAGCACAAAAACTTGTGCTTGGTACTAAGCATACCCATTTTTTCATATATATATATATACATATGTATATCCCAGATATAGATACATACATATATGAGTGTGTGTATATATACATATACATATACATATACATATACATATACATATACATATACATATACATATACATATACATATACATATACATATACATATACATATACATATACATATACATATACATATACATATACATATACATATACATATACATATACATATACATATACATATACATATACATATACATATACATATACATATACATATACATATACATATACATATACATATACATATACATATACATATACATATACATATACATATACATATACATATACATATACATATACATATACATATACATATACATATACATATACATATACATATACATATACATATACATATACATATACATATACATATACATATACATATACATATACATATACATATACATATACATATACATATACATATACATATACATATACATATACATATACATATACATATACATATACATATACATATACATATACATATACATATACATATACATATACATATACATATACATATACATATACATATACATATACATATACATATACATATACATATACATATACATATACATATACATATACATATACATATACATATACATATACATATACATATACATATACATATACATATACATATACATATACATATACATATACATATACATATACATATACATATACATATACATATACATATACATATACATATACATATACATATACATATACATATACATATACATATACATATACATATACATATACATATACATATACATATACATATACATATACATATACATATACATATACATATACATATACATATACATATACATATACATATACATATACATATACATATACATATACATATACATATACATATACATATACATATACATATACATATACATATACATATACATATACATATACATATACATATACATATACATATACATATACATATACATATACATATACATATACATATACATATACATATACATATACATATACATATACATATACATATACATATACATATACATATACATATACATATACATATACATATACATATACATATACATATACATATACATATACATATACATATACATATACATATACATATACATATACATATACATATACATATACATATACATATACATATACATATACATATACATATACATATACATATACATATACATATACATATACATATACATATACATATACATATACATATACATATACATATACATATACATATACATATACATATACATATACATATACATATACATATACATATACATATACATATACATATACATATACATATACATATACATATACATATACATATACATATACATATACATATACATATACATATACATATACATATACATATACATATACATATACATATACATATACATATACATATACATATACATATACATATACATATACATATACATATACATATACATATACATATACATATACATATACATATACATATACATATACATATACATATACATATACATATACATATACATATACATATACATATACATATACATATACATATACATATACATATACATATACATATACATATACATATACATATACATATACATATACATATACATATACATATACATATACATATACATATACATATACATATACATATACATATACATATACATATACATATACATATACATATACATATACATATACATATACATATACATATACATATACATATACATATACATATACATATACATATACATATACATATACATATACATATACATATACATATACATATACATATACATATACATATACATATACATATACATATACATATACATATACATATACATATACATATACATATACATATACATATACATATACATATACATATACATATACATATACATATACATATACATATACATATACATATACATATACATATACATATACATATACATATACATATACATATACATATACATATACATATACATATACATATACATATACATATACATATACATATACATATACATATACATATACATATACATATACATATACATATACATATACATATACATATACATATACATATACATATACATATACATATACATATACATATACATATACATATACATATACATATACATATACATATACATATACATATACATATACATATACATATACATATACATATACATATATGGGAAATTTTGGAGAGAGGCGAAGCCCTGCTGGATTGAAGACTCAGATCTAAAAAAAGATCACAACTTTGAAGGCTTGGAGACTTGGACTTTCAGATCCGGTGCTCGGCGATCACCAACGTCAAATAAGGCAGGAGTTCGAGAGGATTGGATTTGAGATCTACACGATCATACTCCGGATCTAAGCTTGGTCTTAGATCCCGAGACTTGGACGGTTGTTTCCTTGGTGAAACAATCCTCCCCGGCTATTATTCCCTTGGTGGAATATTACCCGTCATATCGTGTAGATCCGACCGGATCGAGATCACGCGGTGGTCCACGGCAAATAACCCCGGCGCAGGCAAAGAACCCACCAAAGCGAGCGACCGCAAAACAGGAGCTCGCGATTAGTTCGACAAATAAGGAAAATTGTAATCTTTACTTTGTTTTATTTTGATTTTTCATTGTAACCGGATCTTATAAAAAGACCGGATCTTTGTAACGCATAAAGTTGTTAACTGAGATAGCAATGATATCAACAATGAAGAAAGACATAATTTTTCCCGCGAACAAGTACTCGGTCCATCAAGCTTCAGATCGATGGTCGGAAGCTCCAACTTCTTCGATGTTTTTGTCGCACTCTCACCAGCCGACAACTTCATTAGCTTCATCAAAGTTGACACCTCCGCGGGGTTCAACTTCTTGATGATCTCCTCCATCGAATAGGCTTCAGACCCACCACCTGTTCACCTTTTCTTCCGACCCTTGTTGTGTGCAGTAAAATTTCGGCAGCACCTCTACTGCACAACAAGAGTAGGATCTCAAACAAATTCTTGTTTCTCAGAGAAAACAAGAACCAAAAACAGTTATATATCTCATCGATGTGAGATATATACTCTTCCTGTCATCAGTTCGAGGACTGAGTCAAGGGAACCCATGCCAAACTCTAGGTCCAGCATAGCGCAGCAAGCGGCGGGCAAAAAAGGGGGGGGGTTCCGGTGGGTCTGGGTGGCGGCGGCTAGGGTTAGGGTTTGGATGGAGGCTCTGATACCATATTGTATATGAAAACCCTAATCTTATTCATGAGATAACATGGGCTTATATAGGCCCCTACAACTTACACATAAACCCCTAAACTTAATAATATTTCAACACTAAATCTACTTTAGCTAAGTGAATGTAGTCACTCACCATTCTACGTTTAGTAGGGTTGTTCAACCCTCTCACATTCCAAGATCCAATCATCATTTGTGGATTGGAGGGGATCAACTTAGGAAAGGAGGTCAGTTAGGTTGGCTTAGTCCTTTCTTTCTCTGCTTGAATCTCTACCAATCCTAGGGGGTCAACCGACTCTTTGATGCCACTGTTGACTGATATATCACATAATTGTTATAAACTTAATGAATTAATGGGCAACGTAGAGGAGGAAGAGGAAGATTTACCCTTAGAACCCCCTAGAGGGAAGCTTCTCTTCATAATTGAAAGGTGCTTTCTGTGGGGTAAATGAGCCAGCATTCTTCTGGATGATTTCCTCCTTGTCTGCTTCTTGCATTCTCAAAGCCTGGGGGAGGGTCGGAAGAGGATGCAACATCCATAGAGTCAGAGGAACTGTTGATGTTGAGGGGAATAATCGGAGTTTAGTAGCTGGGGATGCACGACACCGGAGAAGCTTCTGCTTGAAGAGGGAATGCAGCAGTTAGTAGATCCCACGAATCATTGGTGATCCTAATTAGGACCCCCTTGAAGACGACATCAATGAGCTCAGAAGGATCAGCCCTGGTGGTCTAAGGGGGAATGTAGAGAGAGGTGGGGATAAGCATGACTTAGATGTTTCCCCAACATCTAACATGGGATTTTTCACTTTAGGATCCGAGGTAGGGGGCAACTTCTTCAGTTTTGTTTACTTCTGTAGAAGAGGGGTTCTTGGGGGGACCAGTGGCGTGTCATCTAAGGATAGAGACAGTGCTCCCTCTTTGCGAACAAAACGTTCGAAGTACTCCAAGCATTTTCCTTTCCTTTCTAGGAGAGGTTTTCCCACGACCTTAAGATGAACCGTGTCTTCCATCAAGTGCACATCGTCGAGGGATGTATACCTGCAAGTAATAGATCGAGGGATCTCTGATATTTCTCAGATGCTAAGCATGGTCTTGCATTCTTTTGCATGCTTTTCAATCATGACATTGTCTGAGACTGTAATGACATCACCAATGTCTCCTAACAGCTGCATGAGGAACTCTGAGTCTCATAGATGAAAGGGGAGGTTGGTGATTTCGACCCATACATAGACAAACTTGGGAAGAGCTTTGAGCCCCATCTTCTCTGACCATGGGGAGAAAATCCTCTGAAATTACCCATGTCAAATAATTCCTTGGAACAAGCTAGATCTAGAGTCTCTTCATTTGGGAATTGGATGAAGTAGAATGAAGGAGAGGTTCGCCTGATGTCGTACGTCCATCTGTCGATCTTGAGATGGAACTCCAAATTCTCAATGAGCTCTTCGTAAGATGGATTACCCACTTGCAAGTTGAAGAAGCCAAAACAAGAATGGGCCTCCATGTTGCTAATCACTGAAGGGGGGAGGGTGATGTTAGGGATGAACAAGGGAGGAGGAGATGGAGAGGGAGGAGTGATGTTAAACGGCGGAGGATTGTTTTTATTGGGGCAGCAGAGCGATGTGTGGCCGACTCTATTGCAATCGAAGCACTTAAAGTCACCCGGAGAACAATATCTCGCCATATGAGCTTTGTCTCCACAAAGAAACACCCTTAGGGGTTTGGGAGGATGAGATTGGTAACTGGAACGAAAATAGGGCTTGGGTCTATTGGAGCGTCTTTTGTAGGATACTTTAGTCTAACCTTCTTCTAGAAGGGGGAGGATCTCCTTTCGAGAAGCGGGGATGGGAAGACGAGAAGAGTGAGACTGAAGGCCCTAAAAAAGGTCTGTGTTAGGATATAGAATATATTCATGTAAATCTTAGCATTTATTGTAATCATATCTGATTGATATTTACCTTGTATAGGTTTCCTCATATGGTTAGTGTAAGAGTTTTCTTTTGTAACTCTTACCTTTTTTGCTTTTGTAATCCCTACATATTGCGAGTAATGAAACACTAACCATTCACGGCGAATATTACCTTCTATCTGTCTGCGAATGATGAGAAGAGGGGTGGGGATCCCTTCTTGCTTGTTTCTTACTTTAATCCTAAATATCTAGAATGCCTCAGCTAGTAATCTTGCATTGTTTTGTTTAACTTGTTAACTAGACTTTTGTTGTTCAACATCCCTTCTTACAACTTTGTGTCTGGACTGGAGTTTCTCCAGAACGCTGTTCTGAGTATTATTTATTTTTGAGCTGATATGAATTAAATTGCTGCTTTAAGTTATTTTTCCCCTCTAATGAGAGTTATTTTTCACATTTCTGTAAAAAACCTTGTAGCCTTAAATCGGACAATATCGTTGAAGCTGAGAGGCTTTAAGTTTTTTTCTCATTAAGCTAGTAAGTTTTGCGTCTCTGCTATTCTTTTTTGGGTTCTCAATGTTGCACGTTTTCTCATTGAAGTCTTTTTCAAATGTTAAAGAAGGATGGACAAAAGTAATGAAAGATATTTCAAGAATGTAGTTGATATTTGTTTACTATTGATTCATGCAGTTATTAGGGACAGCAAGAAGGGACTTCGCTCTAAAAGTTCTCTGTTGAACATAGAAATTCTTCCCTCTCCTACGACCAACAAGGTGAGAATTCTATTCGACTCATAATACCAATGAGCTTAACTAATTGACAATCTTATGTATTCTTTATGTGGAATCATTCTTTGCCTTAAAATGCTTGATACTACAATCTACTTTGTTTCTTTCGTCAAGCAAAAATATATTGTTCTTATACTCAGTTACATCTTGTATTGCAGAGATCCCAAAGATGGAAATTTTGATAAGGTTTGGAATGTCAAATGCAGTTGAAAATCAAAGGATGATGGAGGGGTTGAAGATGAACTTTAATGTGTCAGTTTTTTAATCCCCATGCACTAGAATAGGTTGATTCATGTTTAAGAGATGTCAAGTTTGACAAAAACCTAAGTTTTCTATATTTGTGGATTGGACATGTATTAAGAGTTATGGAACCTTGAATGTATTGCTTGTTTCTTACTTTAATCCTAAATATCTAGAATACTTGTTTGCAAGATATCTTAGTATTTATAGCGACAAAACATGTTGTTGCAAACAAACATCTTTTGCAACAACCACAAGTTGTTGCAATACTCTTTAGTGATGCCCACATGTGCAACGATCCTGCAAAATATGTATCGCAGTGCTTTTTTTCTTTATCGCAATGACTGTTGTCATTGCAAAAGATGTGTTTTCTTGTAGTATCACCTCACGACTCTAGACCTGGAAAGCCCAAATTCGTAAGAGTAAACTCAAATATAGTTAAAAACTAGAAATTCTAACCCCAACAAAATTCTAGAGATATCCTACTAGGGTCCTCATAAACGCCTATCGCACTGCCTAGGGTGGTTTCCCAGCATTTCAAGATTGTGCTATTCAACAAGACAGAATGCCCGAGGCACCATCTAACAACTGGTTGATCTAACTTTCTCTATTTCTTCATTTGTCCTGACTCATATTGTCTTCAAGACGGAATACATGACTATAAGCCTCAATACTACAATTAACAGAGAAATAAGCTTTTCCTAAGATATTTCTCTCCACAGCCATCCATCAAGCACTAAAAATTATTAAATATAAAAGTGTCAAGATCCCAGTTTTCCAAGAAACCATGGTAAGAAATCAAGATATCATATCTTGCCAAATGATACATTTGCTCAACCTGAAAGAAAGAACTCCCTAAGAGAAGTGAAATGTCGACTCAATACCGTGCAAATGTAGGTTAAATTTCATTCATCCTACACCAACATATATTATTGCTGGAGTGGAAATAATATACCCTTGAATATCCAATACAATTATATAATATTCTTAGAAATTGTTTTTTTAGATCATGCACTGTGATGGTCACTTGATTGGAGATGTGATCTAACTAGATTTCTTAAACTTGTGCTTAACCTATAACTGATAAAAATAACTTATTTATAACAAGTTATTATGTATAAAACTGACACATGAGATGTGGTGGTGGGTGGTCTCAACCACCGGGAATAGAGATTCCCCGGGTGTATGTCATAAGCACACATTATGATGTGTAGCACTAGATTGTTTTGAATTCTCTTGTAAAAGTCACCGAGGAGATGGAGAATTTAAATTGTTAGATGGTCCATTGAACTTGATAATGTTGTTATTTTTGATTTGATAATTTAGTATGCTTTGATGTGATGGTTAAGCTTGTTTAGGAAGCGCTACACAACCTAAAATGTTGGGCTGCTAGATCTCATTTAGGAAAATAATAGATATCTAGATTAGATTTAGCGTACTCATTATGATAAGTTAATTTATTATGCATATCCCATGAAGTTATTAAAATCCCACTGGTGTGTGATTTTGAAAAATATTTTTCAAAATTTATTTTAGCATAAAATATAATTTTTTATGTTTTAAATAAATTTTTTAAGTTCATGGGGATTGTAATTTAGACATGAGTAATTAGGTGAACTGTCTTGCTCGATAAAGTTGCCTAAAATAAATGACACTTGAGGGGACTAAACGTAAGATAATAATATTCATAAATATTTAATCCTATATTATATAAGAACTTTATGAATAGTTGGTCGATTAGGGATTTGATTATTAAATTAAAATTATTAATTTAATTAATAACTAGTTATCGATATGAGACCCAATTGGTCTCACTAATATTACTAAAAGAGGTATAAATGCAATACAGTCTTATTCTATTCTTAACCATTATGGATTGACTTTTTAAATAATTTCAAATCGTTTAGAGTTTGTTACCTATAAAGCTAGTCTAATCCTATAAATAGGGTTCATATGTAGCCTTACGAAGACGCCAAAAATCTTATGAAAATAAGATGAAAATTAAGAAAAACAAAAAAATAGAAAATTTTAAGAACATATCTCTTTGTATTGCTCCTTTCGGTGATTGGTGTATTTCAATTGGAGGTTTTTTTTCTTGGGAAGCTTTAAAATTTTAGATAGATATTGGAAGATAGATTTTTCAGGCAGATATTGGAAAATGGATTATGAAAGATAGGAAAGTGTTCCACATATTCCCCTAATTTTATTAATTTTGATTAATTATCACTATATGCACATTCCGCCTTGTTGTATTTCGCGTTTCCAACAATTACTATAGCCTTTAATTAGAATTTATATTTTATTCATAATATCCATTAAATATGGCTATCTCAAATTGAGGTGTCTTAGGGGCTATTTGGTTCACCTATTTTATTGACAATGGCAATATCGTGAATAATAGATTTCTACAGATTTCTGCAGATTTCTATAAATTGTGTTCGGTTCTAAAAAAATTATATAAATATTTTCTATAAAGTAGAGAAAATGTACTATTTATAGAAATCAACTTCCTTCCCAAATGGGTGGAAATTACAAGGAAATATGATATTTATGTTAAAATAGTAATAAAATACACCCGTGCCACTTTTCCATAAAATTTAAAATTGTCTAGAAATTTGAAATTGCCTAAATTCTTGCATGAGTTTCACTTTTCTATAAAATTTTCTTATTTAACCAAACAAAAGAAAAGGAAAATAACCTAATTTCTATGAAGTTAGCAACTCATGTTCATGAACCTAACAAAGAAATAGCAATAAACAAGAAAAATAGCATTTTTGAGTTCTATGAACTTCTCCTACAAATTTTTATAGAAATACAAGGAAATTAATTTCTTGACACTTTTCATTTTCCTTTTTTATATAGAAATTGAACCAAACAGCCCCTTAGCCTATTTCAAGTTCAGGAGATTGGTTGTTCATACTTGGTTAGAGATTTCACAGGCTTCTACTATGGTTTTTCAAAGGAGTTAATCTTGAACTCCAAGCATTTTTACTGTAATTCTTTTTGTGATGTATTTATTGGCTCTTTGGTTTTGTATCTTGTTCTGGAGCTTTATAAACTATTAATACATCTTAACATTTTTTTTTTTTGGTTGAGTGGCATGAAGAGATGATAATGGGAGGAGCTGTAGAGGACTATAGCTCGGCCATAACTTGTTGATTTTAGGCAACCCTAATAAGTCGTTATCATCCCTGCCCATGATCCTCAAACAGTTTACCAATCTAATAAAATAGAAGACAATCAACAAATCCAATACTTGTGTAAATATAATATTGTAACCTTTAAGAATACACAACCAACCTAATTGTAAAATAATAATATATTCATATCCATCCTACAGACATTTCCTTATTCTAACAAATCCAGCACGCAGATCACACAGCATCAAAATTCTAATGATATGACAATATATTAGCAAAAAAAAAGATAAAATAGATGATGAAATATTTCCCAAAATAACCCTCACCGTCCAAGATCTTGTGACCCTAAGTCCTAACATGCCAACTTGACAACCCTAATATCTTGCTCCCCCCAACAACTGTCAATTCCCAAAATGCCACCAGCGCATCCAAACTCAAAGATACAGTTACCATGCATGAATGCAGTGAAAATGATGCAGCTTAGTGTTGGCAGATGAGGAGTTTAGAGAGGGAAAGGGAGGGCTCACATGTCTGAGCATTTGGTTCTCATTCTGCAGAGTGGAGAGTCTCTCCTCCAGCTCAGAGTTCTTCTTCTCCAAATCCTTCACCTTCACCTCGAGATCGTTCAAGTACGCCTTCTTCCTCTCTCTTGCTTGCTGTGCTGAAACCCTATTCCGCAGCAACCTTGTACACACAACATTATAACCAAAGTCTGAGCCTTTTTAGATAAATTTAAGCAAGGAGCGCTCCCGAAACTTACATGATGATAATCACAATGAGTACGTTTATAAAAACCCAAAGTTTTTTTTTACGCTGATTTATTTTTTTAAATCTACCCTCTCAAAATCATACTTAAACCCAAAAATATCATATCGAATTCTGTTTAAACACGGCTTCTGTATTTTTTTTTTCTCTTTCTTTACGGTGTTCCGAAAATTATAGCGACTTAGCCCCAAAACATAGCAACTCAAACGCAAATATATCACACTCCAGTGAAATCAGAAACCGGGTTTAAAATATAGTAAAAGGTTGGGGTTTAAAATCCAGAAATATACTACCTTTTGAGGCGCTTGTGCTCTTTGTCAGCAGGGCTCCTCCCTCTCTTCCTCTGGCTGGCTTGGGCCGAGGACTGGGCCTGGCCGGGCCCACCTACCGAGCACGGATCACGGCCAGAGGTTGATGGACCCCCTGTCAGCTCACCCCCGAACTCTGGCACTCTCCTTACCTCCTCATCACTCTCCATTCCTACATTATTACCAAAAAAATAAAGTTACAAAATTGGCCAGATTCTATGATAAAGATCTTATCTTTTTTAACGCATAAAAGGGAAAATATTAAGCAGTTGAAGAAAAACAAATTTTTATGATTGGTTTTTAAATTTCAATGCAAAGTTTCACCAAATTTATTTGTCAGCCCACCAATTTCCAACATACTCTTAACCCCCAAAACATTACTCTTAATTTTATTTTTAAAATGAGCTTCTAGCTGTTTCAGACGTTTCACTGATGTACAACAAGTAGCCAAATGTGGATCTAAATTGCTATTTTGGACATATGAATGGCTAAATTTGGATTTAATATGCTTGAATTAAGATGATTTTAAAAGTGGGTGGATGTAAAGGTAAAACTGTAAAGAGTTTGGGTTTATAATGAGCTTCTAGCTGTTTCAGACGTTTCACTGATGTACAAGTAGCCAAATGTGGATCTAAATTGCTATTTTGGACATATGAATGGCTAAATTTGGATTTAATATGCTTGAATTAAGATGATTTTAAAAGTGGGTGGATGTAAAGGTAAAACTGTAAAGAGTTTGGGTTTATAATCCAAAAGACCAAACTATTAAAAAAGATCACAAGTCAAAAGCAGGAAAAAGAGGTCAAGGGGCAAATCCCAACAATATTCAAACAACAAAGAAAACCCATGAACCAAAATTTCATCTTTTAAAATACCCATAAAACGAAACCAAATAATTCAAAAAAAATTCCAAAATTCCAGCCAAATACCACTGATCAAAATTTTCTAAAAAAAAACTGAGCCTACCTTCTTTGATCTCCACCTGAGGCGCAGAGCTAGAGGACCTCTCGCTGCTCGATGGCAGCGAGCTCGTCGCAGGCTCCTGCATGTTTTTAGAGAGAGAAACTAGAGAGAGAAAGTTTTGCTTAAAAAAATATTTTTCTGCTCTCTTCGGGAAAGAGCGGGGAACTCAGCTGATCTCACTGTTCATAAAGGTGGGTTCGGGGGTTTAGGGATGAAATCGCAGCCGATGGATTTAAAGGAATCGGATGGTTGAAAAGAGGTTAGCGTGGACAATTATTTGCCCATGCATTTGAGGGAGAATCCAAAGGTGGAGAATAGGGAAGCGTGGACAGAACTTCGGCCGTTGGATTTGTATCAAATCCGATGGTCGATGAGCTGTGTTCTGTGGCTGGGTCCGGACTTTTTCGGGTGTGGTATCTGTGTGAGCAAACTGTCGAGATTGCCCTTTGTTTTGTCTGTTATTTGCTGGGATAATGTTTCCTGTGCTGAAGTGTGATAAAATACGAGAAAACTTGAAAAAAACGGTTCCCTGTGCTTCCAAAAAGAGATTTTTTTTTTTTAACTTTTTTGGAAAATTAATTAGCAAAATATTTTTTTTTTACAAAATGAGAGAGAGAATCGACTAAGATGGTTTGGTCATGTACAATGGAGACCTCTTAGTGCATCGGTTAATAAAAGTAATAGTATTATAGTTAATGATGATAGGAGATATAATGATAGACCTAAAAGAAATTGGTTAGAAGCAATTAAGGATGATATGATTACAATTAACTTAACGGATGAGATGACCCATAATAGAACAGAATAAAAGAACATGATATATGTAAAAACCCTAAAATTTTGGGATAAATGCTTTGAATTTGTTATTGTTGTTGTATATTTATACAAAATAATAAATAAAGTCGGCCCCTTTTTGGCCACATCATTAAGACTGGCTAAAAAGAGATCGATTTTGTAAAAAAATATCTTTAAAATATACGGGACTAATAGTTATGTGTAATTAGCAATTTGAAATTAAGATTAATCTGATTCTTATAATATAAATGGGACTAATAGTCCCATGTATATAATAGAGAGCTTGATAGTTAGGCAACAAAATACACGGGACTAATAGTCACGTACATATAATAGAGACTTTGATAGCTTTACCAACCCAAAACACTAGATTAATAGTCCCGTGTATTTATTAGCATTATATATACCACTCATGCCCTAATTCTCAAACAACGTAGCCCAAGGGAGTAATAGAATTAATCATGAAGAATATACAGCTAAGGTGTTCTACAACTATTTGATAAACGAGAATAGAACAATTGCTATAGAGATCACCAATAATTAAGAATTGATTGATACAAAATAACTCTTTGAAAAATAAATCTCAACCGAGTTGTTCATTGAAAAGTTTTTAGTTTCTGATATTGCCCAATTTTTGAAATATCCTAGAGAGTTCTTCCTCATGCTTGACTTAAACAATAACTTGAGTGAATTTATATCATCTCCAAGTGCCATAGGCTTAGAAAATAATTGAGTGAAGTGGCATAGACTCAACTACAACATCTAAGTAGGACTTCCCTTGGTGCCATGTCAAGTATTATGTTTGATTATGCTTCGGATCATGTTACTGGTTATTTGACAATCAGAACAATTGTAGAAGAGGAAGTAAATAATGAATCTGAGGAAGTTGAAGATGAGGAGCGAGTTGATAGTATGTAATGTGCTATTGGAGGTATCGATGATGCCACTCGTTTAATGAATGAACTTTGTATAAACAACGGCAATGTGAAGTCTGAAGAACTATTGCCAGAAGAGTTTTCAAATAAGGATTGGATAAATGCCTCAAAGGTAAATTTTTTATGTTGGGTCAAATTTTGAATGACCTAAAGAGTTCACTTTTAAAAAAGAGATCTAGTTGAGAAAAAGGATTTATCATTTTTTTTCATACATGAATTGTGCATCAAGAATCAGGTCAAATTCAAGTAGGTAAAAACTAATACTACAAACTACCATGTAAAATGCTACTTAAACAATGAGAATATGCAAGTGCTCGGGATGAAAAAAATGCAAAGTGACATTGGACGCTAAGTGCATCTATTAGAAAAAAATCAAATGGGCAATATATAGTTTCTAGTTATTACAGACTCATGGACGCTAAGTGCATCTATTAGAAAAAAATCAAATGGGCAATATATAGTTTCTAGTTATTACAGACTCATATGTTGCAATTCAACTAGCACTATTGATCACCGCTTTCTCTTATATATGTAAGCCAATTATGCCCAAAATTAGCAGAGAATTTGATCTGACTCCAAATTAGATAATTACAAGAGTATACTATATGAGAAAAACAAACACATCCAAATATAAGGCATATGATGCACAGGAGAATGCATTGACTAAAATATTTAGAGATTGGGAGAAATCTTATGAATTACTTCCACAATATTTTGAAGCAATTAAGAAAAAAATTTGGGTACAAATATGAAATATTGTCTAAAGATATTGCATTGAAGTGGATAAGTTCATGTGAGTATTTTGGGCATTTGTTAAAGGGGTTCAATTTTAGTTGTCTACTTTTAAGCATCAATGACACACATTTATATGGCAAGTATAAAGAAGTGCTTCTAGTCGAGACTGTGGTTAATGCAATGGTGGGTTATTTATTTTTACTTTTGTAGTTGTTAAGGTAAAGGACATGTCGAGTTGGAAGTGGTTCTCTAATGTATATACATGTTACTTCCTAGTGTCCAAAGTCACAGAATGATTGCTTTTATATCTGACGGGATGGAAGGAATTTCATGGGCATTACATGAGGGTTTTGGAGAACTACATCAACATTGATATTGCTTGAGGCACATAAGAGATAATTTTAAGGGGGAAAATATAGAGAGATTAATTTACAAAATCTGTTGTGGCAAGTAGCATATGAGTATTGTAGGGAGAAAATTAAGTCACTATCAGTAGAGGTACACAACTGGATTGAACATAACTTGAAGCCACGATACATAAATCATTGGGCATTATGTAAAGATGATGGGGGTGTGCTACTGTATGATGACAACTAATTGTTCTAAGAGTTTCAGATGTGTACTTAAATGGTGTATGAGTTAGCCAATTCAAGTCTTTGTTGAAAGGATATTTTATTGGTCGAACACATACTTAACAAATGACGTGGTAATGGTGCAAACTAGATGACAAATTACACACTAAAAATGAGAGCATTTTGTAGAAAAGAATTATGGTTGTAAGATCATGTGGAATTACTCCATTCAATGACAATGAGTGAGAGATTAAAGATTATGAAGGTACTTATATTGTTTATCTCTTTAACTGAGAGTGCAATTGCACTTGTAACATACCACAATTATAAAAATTATTATGTGCACATGTTCTAACGCCTAGCTCTTATCAAATTGATGGTGCAAGAATCCTTATGATCCATATTGCTCTCGTCGATATTCAACAAATCATTACTGAATCAAATTGATGGTGCAAGAATCCTTATGATCCATATTGCTCTCGTCGATATTCAACAAATCATTACTGAAAGACATATAAGCAGAGTTTTCATCCCCCGTCCATATTGCTCTCGTCGATATTCAACAAATCATTACTGAAAGACATATAAGCAGAGTTTTCATCCCCCGATGATAGTCGATATTGACTAGAATACGATAAAGCACGTTTATTGCCGCCTCAATATAAAAGACAAGTGGGAGGTTCCTGATATGTGCGCATTAAATGTACCATGGATCCAGGGTGGCAAGGAGTGGTGAAGTGAATTAAGTGTAGTCAATGCAATTAACTAGGTCTTAATAGGTCTCATGGTATATATAGAATAAGTAGATACCAATTAATTGGTAATAAATTATCCACATTTAATTCATGCTTTTTATTGTAATTTATTAGTATATTATTTTATTAATTCAGCAAGTACTGATATATGTGATAAATTGTATATGTAGGTATACACACCATGCTTCCTGCACTAGATAGTGATGAGGTCCTACATGATCGATCAGTCACGCCACCGTTTTAAGCATGTATCATTTTTATAGGTAACAAATTTGTTGAATACATAAAACTAATTTCTCCATTTTTATTTATTTTGTACTCTGATACTATATTTCTTTATTGTGTAGAATGAATCGGAGCTAGTCATGGTTGATCATAGCCTTGGGCATACCCGTTGGCCACTTGAAGATGAGTGTGTGATTAGTATGGTAGCATGAGCCAGTTTTCTCACATGCTCAAAGCTACTATAGATGAAATTAGATTGGCCATCTCTTAACACTTCGATGGATAGATGGAGGATGGAGACTAACACTTTCCATCTACGTCTTGAAGAGTCGACCATTACTCTCCAAGACTTATCAATCATCCATGAACTCTACATTGGTGTTATGTGCATTACAGGGATAAATAGACATGCATGGCAAGGAGTATGTGGGGATTTGCTAGGAGTAGCTCAACCCTCATTGCTCAGAAGGAGTATTGGATTAAAGTGGTTGAAAGAGACTTTTTTCACACCCATTGCTAGTCGATGCATCATAGGTCATGATCGAGCGACATTCATGCTCATATATTATGCACATTATCAGGATGCTTCTATTTCCCAATTCCAATAAAGATAAAGTATATTTGAGATAATTGCATTTGTAATTTAAATGTATATATAATTGAATTGTTTACTTGATTGTGTTATAGCACATTTTTTTAATGTGATAAGTAGTTATCACTCCTTGAGGACTAGGACACTTGTGGCCAATTATCATAGTGTAGTGCAATTTTAGCATATATATATATAGAGAAATGTTTGATGTGGCTTTCATGCAAAATAAAGAGCTTAAGGGGTGTCTGACCTTTTTGCAATGTTGAGCATGGGAGAGACTTATTCTGAAACAAGATTATACGAGACTTGAGCTTTAGATGGATAGGTTCTACTTGGCTATATGTAAATACTTTCGAATCTAGCCAATGCGAAAACATTTTTGAATTATAGTTGTGGTATAAGATGCTAAACTTTGATCAGTCACGCAGATGGAATATCCAGAAATACTATGACAAGATCCTGACATAACAATTAGACTTTTATATAAATGGGTTTGACCATATGAAGATTTATCAGGTATCGAACTTAACTTTAAAAAAAATTCAATCTTTGATGAAT